CGGACTTGTGCGGACCCATCACTCCCGCGTCGAAGGGCGGCGCGCACTACGTCCTCACGCTCCTCGACAACGCGACGCGGATGTGTTGGATTCGACTTCTCAAGCACAAGGACGCCACGTCAACCGCCATCAAGTAATGGGTGGCGGATGTGGAGAAGGAAAGTGGCTTCAAGGTCAAGCGCTTTCGCTCGGATGGAGGTGGCGAATATACCGTTCGGGAGCTCGGCGATTGGTTGAAAGGGCGTGGGACCGCGCATGAGTTCTCGACGCCGTATACGCCTCAACAAAATGGAGCCGCCGGACGCTTGAACCGTACGCTCATGGAGTCGGCACGGAGTCTCCTCTCCCATGCTCACGCGGAGAAGCATTGGTGGGGTGAGGCGGTTACGTTGGCAACTTGGATTCGCAACCGGTGCGTGACCAAGGCGTTGCCCAACAAGACTCCTCGTGAGGCTTGGAGCGGTACGAAGCCGGACGTCACCGACCTTCGCACGTTTGGGTGTACGTGCTACTATCATGTACCCGACGTCACACGGACCAAGCTTGAGGCTAAGGCGCGCATGGCGATGTACTTGGGACCAAGCGCGGACCACAAGGCATGGCGTGTGTGGGACTTGGAGCACGGGAAGCTCGTGGTGTCGCGCGACGTGGTGTTGTATGAAGACACCTTCCCGTCCAAGTCCATGAACGTGCCCTCGGTCATCATCGTCCCTCCTCCATTGGATGTCGCGGATGAGGCGGATGAAGCTCCTATGGGTTCTCCTCCTAGTACGAATGAGGGGGAGAATGGATCGGGTGCGGTTGGAGTGAGTGGGGATGAAGGAAATGCCAAGGAAAGTGACCCTTCGTCTCCTTCTCCTACTATCACTCCCACCCTCGCATCCACTCGCACTCGGAGGAACCCTCATCCCAGCTCCAAGTATGATGGCTATTCTCTTGTGGCTGGGGACGATGAGGGAGGAGGAGATGCTATGTGTCTTGAGACGTACACCGACACCCCGTCCACCTACCAAGGCGCCATGAGCTCGGGGGAAGCGGCGGAATGGGAACGTGCGCTTCAAGAGGAGTACGATTCGCTCATGGCGAACGACGTCTACGAGCTTGTCCCCATGCCTCCCGGCGCCTACCTCGTTGGCTTTTGTTGGGTCTTCAAGAAGAAGCTCGGCCCCAATGGAGAAGTGGAGCATTACAAGGCGCGGTTGGTGGCTCAAGGGTACACTCAAAAGGAGGGTCTTCACTACAAGGAGACGTTCGCTCCCGTCGCCAAGTCCGCTACGTTGCGCACCCTCTTGGCGTTGGCGGGAGCACTCGACTTGGAGGTGGAACAACTCGATGTGAAGACGCCGTTTCTCTATGGTCGTCTCAAGGAGGAGGTGTACATGAAGCAACCTCCCGGGTTCGACGACGACTCCGACCGCGTGTGCAAGCTCAAGCGTACGATCTACGGCCTCAAGCAAAGCCCTCGTGCGTGGTACACGAGGATCGACGAACACTTGCTTTCATTGGGGTTCGTGCGGAGCGAGTGTGACCACGCGCTCTACGTGCTCAACAAGGATGAGAAGAAGCTCGTTCTTCTCCTCTACGTCGACGACCTTCTCCTCGTGTCAGATTCCAAGACCCTTGTAGCGGACGTGAAGACGAAGCTTGCCGCCGAATTCTCCGTGCGTGACCTCGGCGCCGTCTCCCACTACCTAGGGATGCACATCGATTGTGATCGAGGGAACAAGACCCTCGCCCTCCACCAACACGAGTACTTGGAGAGTGTTGTGGATCGTTTCGGCATGATCGACCTACACCGACACCCATGGAAGCGGGGTTTCATCCCTTGGCCGTGAGCAATGAGAACCCCATGGATCCCGAGAGCACCAAGGCCTTTCACTCGGTCGTTGGGTCGTGCATGTATGCCGCGGTGAGCACTCGGCCCGACCTCTCCTTTCCCGTTGGAGTGCTTGGACGTGTCGTCTCCAATTCCTTGGGCGAGCATGTGCGAGCATCACGTCGCCTTCTTCGCTACATCAAGGCCACCACTCGAATGGGGTTGCACTACGAGAAGGGACCCATGGTGCTACAAGGCTACACCGATGCGGATTGGGCGCGAGATCCTTCAACCCGCCAAAGCACTTCGGGCTATATCTTCACCCTTGTGGGAGGTGCAATAAGTTGGCAAAGCAAGCGCCAAAACTTGATCGCACTTAGCTCCATCGAAGCGGAATACGTGGCGCTCACTCGTGGTGGTACGGAAGCGGTTTGGCTAAGGCGCCTTCTTGCCAAGCTTGGGCACCAACAAGAAGGCCCCACTCCCATCTACGTGGACGACCAAGCCGCCATTGGCCTAGCCAAGAACTCGGTCCTCCATGGAAGGACCAAGCACATTCAAATCCGCCATCACTTCATTCGCAAGCTCGTTGAAGACAACGAAGTCGAGCTTCGTTACATCAAGACCAACATGCAACCCGCGGACTTCTTCACCAAGCCATTGCATAGAGATGTTCTTTATGCATGTTGGCTAGGGTAGGCTTACATGCTTAGTTGTGCATGGGGTGCAAGGGGGAGTGTTGGAATTGTGGGGGAGAGATTGCCCCCCACGCGAAGACCTCCCTTGACTCGGACCAAGGGAGGGTTCTTTCTCGGAATGAGGGGTGACGGTGGATTGCCCGCGTCGCCACTCAACCAAGTTCGCCCCCGGTTGGGTCCGATTTGTTGTGAGGGCGCCACTTGGCGGCCTCAAGCAATGACGAGAAAAACGAGGGGTTGAGCGAATGTTACGAACATTCGCGACCCCCGTTATGAAATTGTATAACACACGTAACGTGTGCGTTGAAATTGAACTCGGCAAAGTCCGAAATTGTGAATTCGGACCTTGCGGAAATTGGACGCAACCCCAAGTCCGAATTTCCGCTGAGTCGCACGCGATTCGGTGTTACATTTCATCATTTGGTTTGAGCTATAAAATCCAGAGAGCAATTCCAGAGAGTTCATTCCTTTGACGTATGTTGTACCCGTCCTTATATGAACAACTATTGCTCTCTCATTTCTTGGGCGATTTCAGTGATCTAAGTTGCTACGGAATCCTTGCTCCGAGCCCGTCGGATTGATTATATTTTCAGATCCTAACTTGCCAAGTAAAATCTGTGGCGTCACTAGGAGTGAGACGGTTTCCTTCAGTTTTAGCTATAAATCCATAGAGCAAATTCCAGAGAGTTAACTTCAACTCGTCACTTGTACCCATCCTTGCATTATAAGCAATATCTCTTTCAATTCTCATGCGATTATAGAGATTCAAAGTGCCACGGATTCCTTGCTCCAAGCCCGTCGGAACGATTCTAGTCTTGGCTCCTAACTCGCGAAGTGCATTCTGTGGCATCACTAGGAGCAGGCCGGTTTCTTTCAATTGTAATGAAGGATATGACAGCAACTATGTTATGATAATCGATAATCAAAATCACCCTAAATGCTTTTAACAACTTGTTCACTCACATGGATATGGGAAACCCATAGTCATCGCAGATCACCCCTCTGAACCCCGTCCCCATGCCATCATCTGAGCACATTCGCCCCTGGACCCAGTTCAATCCTGGAGGCAAGGCTAGCCCCCGTGCCACCTCATGCATCGCTGCAGCTGAAATGGTTGATGAAACAACACGAGGGAAAAAAATATGAAAAAAATAGCTGTATTCATACATAAGTATTAGCATAGTTCGTATGAAAAACTGTAGGTCCTGGGAGCGTGGGAAATTGTCCCAGAGGGACAAGATTTTGGTCATGGAATGCTGAAACGGTGTGCAGGGTGTGGCAAGAAATGGTAAATCTTGATGCTCAAGTGGTGGTTGAGGAGATGCAATGGGCTACCTATGCTTCCATTGAATGGAATATCCCTTGCTGACGTGACAGCTAGGGAAAATAGGAGAGCCCAGACAGTCCGAGAAGCTAAGATGAACAAATGAACCTTCTTCCCCGTTAGACTCAGCTTCTGCTGGGGGAGTTAGAACCTGCTTGACAAGCCTTGCTAGTGAATGCCAAAACAGGCACTTATTCTATCAGTAGCGGCGGGAATCACCCAGATCTTATGATGGTGTTGCATGTTGCGTATCCTTATATCCTCCACTTGGAAGTGAAATTGGAAGTGAAATTGGAAGTGAAATTTCAGTGGTGCTTTTCGTGAGGGTGAAGTGCGTGTTGCAGCTGCCGACAGGCTGGGACTGGGAGGGCTGATACCTGAAAGTGGCCCCTCCCCCCCTGACCAGTTCAATGTCGCATTTTGCATTTCTAAAATGCGAATTGCGAGTCGCGTGTTATGCGCTTCATCGCAATTCGCAGAGGCTTTCTGATGCCACATAAGCATACTCGTCATTGAGTCGCTCATGTTCCATTATGTACCTTTAAACCCTTGTTTTCTTGAACCAGCAGCATACGAAACGAGCCATTTCCGAAACCCATACCGCATGTTCTAAACCCCTATATTCCACCCCACCGAGAACCGCACGCAGAACAGCAGGAACGTGACACCCACGCAATCTTAGCACACATATCTGGGCAAGATTCACAGAGCAAGCAGTTGAACCCTTCAGACCCCTTCCAGACCCTCCTAGACCCCTCCTAGACCCCTCCTAGACCCCAGCACGGTGGGTTGTGTGTGCTTGCACTCCACCATCACTGGTAGTTTCAGCCAAACATGCCAGACCATTTCTGTGACGTTATGCCTCAACATTGTCGTATTGCGAGCAGTTTCCCTCGTGGCAAGTCAGTGCGACTCGTGAGAGTCACGCAACGAGTCATGGCTAAAGACCTTATGTTGCGAGTATATATGTCTTCAGGCGTCCCGTATCGTGTCTCGTGTTCAGTCAGTGAGCCAGAGCGTACTATCAGTGATCAGTGTTCGGCTCGCACCCTTTCCGAGCCACTTTGGTACAAGGCGAAAAATCTCAACCGTCAGCTTAGTGCATCAACGGTCGCGACTGCAAGAAAGCCTATATCTTCATCTTGGATATCTTCGTGAAGCCATGGGAATGATGGGTCCGGAGAGCAGGAGCCATTCAGGATTCAAGCAGGGCCCCCGCGGGCGAGAGAGCCGGAGTCAAGCGGAGAAGATTAAGAAGCAGGAAATGGAGAGCAGACCGCAAATTGAGGAGAAGGTTGACGGGAACGGTGACGGGAAGTTTGAAGGGAAGAATGAAGCGAAGAGTGAAGGGAAGGCGAGCGCGAAAGGAGGGAAGGTGAACAGGATTCGGCAGGAGGCGCTAGAGCGGGAGAGGGAAGCGCGCGAGGAGAGGGAGGTGGCACGGAAGCAGCAGGCGTGGAGCAAGGAGGACATGAAATTCGCACGTTACGCGGCCGCCGTGAGGCGGAACGTTGCACGGAGTAAACGACAAGCGGCCAAGGTACGGGGCTGTGGGGTTGTGGTGCGATACATGCGGCCGGTTGTGGAGTTGTGGTATGATACATGCGGCCGGCTGTGGGGTTGTGGTGCGATACATGCGGCCGGCTGTGGGGTTGTGGTGCGATACATGCGGCCGGCTGTGGGGTTGTGGTGTGATACATGCGGCCGGCTGTGGGGTTGTGGTGTGATGAATGAGGAAGCAGCGCCGTCAACTCACGCACAGGGTGGCACTACACACGCCATGTAGCACAACCCCTCTCACGTGTCTCCGCCCTTCTTTCTCCCCTGCCCCCTTTCCCCATCCCTTGTTGTTGCTGTGTGTCAGGAGAGGCGCAACAGCCTGCTGGATGAGTGAGCAGCAGCACTGCCATGGCGGCTTCTCTGAGTCGAATTTAAAGCTATGCCCTGGCCCTGGGCGTGTGCCATGGGAGCCGGGATTTACTCTTCTAAATGAGTGAGCAGCAGCGCTACCGTCGTGACGACTCAGAGTTGCCTCAAAAGCTACGCCTTGGCCCTGGGCGTGTGTTGGGGAAGCCGGATTAGCCTTGTAAATGAGTGAGCAGCAGCAACCTGGCGGTTTTGATACAGCAACAACGCCGGCCGCAGATTCTTGAAGGGTAGTCCCTTAGTGGAGACAACAAGGGCAGCAGCAGCAATGACGTTCCGGGCAGTGTACGGCCTGTTTGTTTAGGGTTCGCATGTTATAATGACTGGCACGGCGCAATGCAATGAAGTGCAGCGCAGTGGAGTGTGTGTGTGTGTGTGTGTGCAGTGCATGGGCTCTGCAGATGGAAGGGCTCTGCAGCAGTGCCCTAGATATCAGACTTTGGAGTCTGAATCAGAGTCCGTTCAGACTTTTTTTTTGTACCTAGTCTGAACTCAAAGAATTTATTTATGTACCTTGTCTGATTTTCCAGAGTTTTTTCTTATGAGTTGTCTGGAATTTCAGCCTAATTTTACTAGGGTAGGCTGAGCCTCAGACTTGTATCGGGGTCTCAAAGTTAGCGAACAACGGAATGATTGGAATAGAAACGAATGGGGTACAAATGAGCAACCCTAGAAGCTGTACCCCCTAGAGTGCAACTCATTATAGCCTATCATATCAATGTTCAACATTTGACACACCCCCATAGGCTAAGTGAGGGGCATCAAAGCAAGCAAGATGAACAAACGGTCACAAGACCAGTCAAACCAAGAACCAAGGCAAGCTCAGGGTGGATCTCAAGGACACCACACAAATTCCGAGCGCAAGCAAGCGGCCACAAGGCCAGTTCAAGAGTTCACTAGGATATAAATACAAAGCACAACAAGCAAAGCAAGCAACAGGACTACACCAACCGAGGGCCTACCTCAACAAGCCCCAACTGCACACAGAACCTGTGGTGGTCACCAAGCGCCAAGGCCTTGGTGAAGACGTCTGCAGTGTTGGCCTCTGAGGCCACAAAGTCCAGGCGTGCCTGACCGCGTCGCTGCAGCTCTCGCAGGAGGAAGTACCTCACGTCAATATGCTTCACTCTGCTCTCCAGTCGAGGCTCTCGACACAGGAGGATCATGGCCTTGTTGTCAGCGTACAAGGTCGGTGCAGAGCGAGGCCGCTCACCAAGGTCAGCGAGCAAGAAGGTCAACCAGCGAAGCTCCTGTGCCGCCATGGCACCAGCGTAGATCTCTGCCTCTGCACTGGAAGTAGCCACAGACGACGACCGTGTAGACCTCCACGACACAGCACCAGCTCCCAGACTGAAGCAGTAACCCTGAGTCGAACGCTGAGTCTCCACGTCGTCAGCGTAGGAAGAGTCGCAGTGACCAGTCAACGCCACTGGCTGAGTCCCTCCAAGCACAAGCCCCAAGCCTGATGTAGTCGCCAGGTACTTCGCCACCCTCACAGCAGCTGTCCAGTGGACAGGGCGGTGTCTCCCAGTCGCAACAAAGCGAGAAAGGATGCTGAGTGGAAAGGCGAGGTCCGGTCGAGTACAAGTCATCAGGTACATGAGGCAGCCCACCAGCTCTGCGTAGGGTCCACTGGACTCAAAGGGCTCGTCAGGAAAGGGGCCCGTAAGTCTGTGGTCAACAGCAAGAGGAGTGGGCTGTGTGGTGGAGAACTGGAAGTGGAACCGCCGAAGGACCTGCTGCACCATGTGTGACTGCGTCAGTGTGATGGTGCGAGCGGCTCTGTCCCGGGTGATCTGCAGGCCAAGGTAGCGCTGCAGCTCACCCAGGTCAGTGCACTTGTGTCTCTTCTGCAGTTCGGACTTCACCTGAGCCAGGGCTGCCCTGTCTGCTGTAGCAAACACCAAGTCGTCGACGTAGACAAGGATAAAGAAAGGAGTAGAACCCGCTCGAACAAACAGCGACGGGTCGGCGGAGGACGGGCTGAACCCAAGGTCACAAAGCGTGGAGCGAAGAGTGTCGTGCCACTCACGGGGCGACTGGCGGAGACCGTAGACTGGTCGCCTCAGGCTCCACTGGGTCCCAGGTGGGAAGGTGTCAGTGAAGCCAGGAGGACGGCGCAGCCAGATCTCCTCGTGCAGTCGGCCCTGGAGGAACGCAGTGGAGAAGTCGAGGGAGTGCAGCTCGTAGTCTCGCTGCGCTGCTATGTGGAGTAACACCCGAAGAGTAGTCATCTTCGGGGTCGGGGCGAAGGTCTGGAAGAAGTCAACTCCCTCACGCTGACTGAAACCCCTAGCCACGTAGCGCGCCTTGAACACCGGCGGTGCTCCAGGCGGCCGCTTCACCTTGAAGAGCCACATGCCATCGACTGCGTTCGCCCTGGGAGGGGGAACTGCGTCGACGTAGGTGCCTGTGGATCTCCAAGACGCCAACTCTGAGTCCATAGCCGCTTTCCACTGAGAGGCCCACGCCCCTGACACTGCCTCGCGGTAAGTGCGAGGAGTCGGTATGTCAAGGGCGTCGGGGTCTCCCTCAGGGGAGAGCAGCATGGCACACACAGAGGGAGAAGCGGCTGCCCAGTACTCCAGCTCAGACTCTCTGTCCTCTAGGACGTCACAGCCAAGGGCAAACCCACCCCCGACGGACAGAGGACGGTAGGGAGGAGCTGGCACCACACGGGTGGCGTAGTCAAGGCGGCTGGCGGCAGCAAACTCAGCGACAGCGGCAGTGAGAGCCGAGACAGACGACGGAGGGAAACGAGGGTCGGTGACAAGAGTGGTGAGGACACGTGCGGCAACAGGACGAACAGCGCGGTAGTAGTCAGAGATAGGAGTGGGGAGGGCAGGTAGAGAGGACGGAGGAGGAGACGGGAGAACGGACACAGGAGAAGGAGAACGACGACGAGACGAACAAAGGAGGGCAGTGTGGAGGTCAGTAACAGGGGACGAGTGACGAGCACGCGGAGGACAACGAGTGATCAAGTCGCGACGGACAGAGGGAGGAGGAGACTGAGGAGGAGGAGAAGACCAGACCGCCGGACGGTCGTCAGGAGGAGGCAACGGAGGAACAAACACAGGAGGAGACTGGGAGCGGACAGGAGGAGAGGAGGAAAGGCCAAGGGCCCGCAAGCCACTCACAGGTGGGAACAACCGCCGCTCTAGAGGAAGCTGCGGTGGCGGCTGCGGCCGCTGCGGCTGCGGCTGCGGCTGCTGCTGCTGCTGCGGCTGCGGCTGCGGCTGCGGCTGCTGCTGCTGCTGCTGCTGCTGCTGCTGCTGCTGCTGCTGCTGCTGCTGCTGCTGCTGCTGCTGCTGCTGCTGCTGCTGCCGCTGCTGCTCCAGAAGGTCCAGCACCCGCAGCTCCTGCCGCTCCCTCTCCAACCGCTCCTGCTCCTCACGCTCACGCCGACGGGCAGCCTGGAGACGCGTGTCGTGGCGGTGGGGGGGCGGGGTGGAGTCCGCAGAACCAGGGTCTCCAGCGTCAGTCTCCTCAGACTCAGCACCCCCAGAACCAGTACCGCCAGTGCTAGGACCTCCAACTCCAGCACCCCCAGAACTAGCACCGCTAGTGCCAGCACCCCCAACTCCAGCACCCCCAGAACCAGCACCTCCAGTGCCGGCACCTCCAGCTCCAGCACCCCCAGAGCTAGCGCCACCTGCGCCAGCACCTCCAGCTCCAGCACCCCCAGAGCTAGCGTCACCTGCGCCAGCACCTCCAGCTCCAGTACCCCGCGACCGAGCACCGCCAGCGGCTGCACCTCCAGCTCCAACACCAACCGAGTCCACAGTAACCTGTCGCGGAAGTGCCGAAGGCTGCTGAGGGGACTGTGAGGAGGACTGCGGGGAGGGAGACGCTACCTGACGCACGACCGAGGGGAGAGGGGTAGCGTGGGACACACCAGACGGGGCAGGACCAGGGGGGGGCGGGGGTACCGGAGGAGCGGGAGCAGGAGGAGGAGAGGGTGCGAGGAAGAGAGGGGGAGGGGGTACCGGGAGACCTCGACAGGGGTACCGGGTGTAGTAGGACACGGACTCGTCAAACCGGACGTCACGGGAATCTAGGAACTGGTGGAGGGGAGGGTGGTAAAAGGACCAGTCAGCAGAGTCCACTGGGAAACCAAGGAAGACACAGGGGACGGCGCGTGCCGAGAGCTTGTCCGCGGAGGTGTCGCGAACAAGTGCAAGGCAGCCCCAGACTCGAAAGGCCGACCCAACACCAGGGGATCCAGTCCAGAGACTGGTCGGTGAAGCCTCGGGCCGCGAGACACGCGGCTGGAGGTTCAGCTGGTGTGCGGCGTAGCGAACCGCGTGAGGCCACAGAAAATGGGGCGCACGGGCATGAATCATGGACGTGCGGGCGATGTCCATGACCAAGCCTATGCGGCGCTCAGCAACCCCATTCTGCTGTGGGGACTCTGGCAGCGTCCAGGACTGGGTGATGCCCTGTTCGCCGCAGAATCCGCCGAGAATGCCGGAGCGAAACTCGCCCCCACGGTCGGAGTGAAGACAACTGACTCGACGACCACGAGTGCCCTCAGTGGCTAGAAGCCACCTGATCAGCGTAGCAGTCACCTCGGACTTCTTCGCAAGAGGAAACACTGTGGTGTACCTGGAGAAGTCGTCGACGACCACCAGAAAGTAGCGCTCCCTCCCAGACCCCTGCGTCGGGGCAGGGCCCCAGACGTCCAAGTGGAGAGTCTCGAAGGGAGCGGTGGCCGGACGAAGGGAGGAGGAGTGGGGAGTGGCACGTAAGCGACCGGCGACGCACGGAGAGCAAGGAGGGGCAAGCGAGGGAGGGAGCGATGGGAAGGTGCGTGGGAGACCTGTGACTAGTCCCTGACTGAGCATGCCACGAAGGCGAGGGATCGACGGGTGGCCAAGACGGTGGTGCCACAGGACGGTGCGGTGGGCGAGAGAGCGACAGGAGCAAGACGCAGCGACTGGACTGGACACAGCGACCGGACTGGACACA